CTGTCCTGCTGTTTTTACCTATAACTGGGGGGAGAAAAAGAAGATTCATACATTTCTTAAGGGTATTAGCATGTAGGTGAATATCAGTCAGTCATGTGCCATGCGTGATACACGCTTAGGCGATCATGTATCTTTCGATACATGACTGACGAGGCAGATTTTTTTTCCTCGCAGTGGGTTGCCATTTCTTTCTACGGTTGATCAGTTGCCATCCAAGGCTATAGAACCCAGTCTGCCCTGCTATTTACTCATAGCTTTTAGGAGAAGAAGAGTATTTATAACTTTCCCAAGGGTATTAGCACGTAAGTAAATGTAATGGATTCGACTGGAATTCGAACTCGGCTCTCCTCAATCCGAGCTTCCACTCCGCTAACCATTACGCCACCGTGCATCCTGCTGACAAACAACCACATCTTATTACAACTTCTTCTATGTGCCGTGTCCCTTCAACACGTCTGCGGTCCTGGCTCTCCACAACTTCCTGTCCCTTGTAATTCACTTTCTTCGCATGTTTGGGTTTTATTACAATTTTAATAATCGATTATTAAAGCAATAAACATTCTGAAGGAGCGAATGTAGTTAAAATAATAGCGGTATCTAGGGAAAAACTTTCCTTTTCACACTCGTTTTTTTTTTTCCGGGTGCGAGTGACTAAGTTTGCTGGATGATCGACATTACATAGCGGTTCAGGGGCTCTTTTCTTTGTTTCTAACTTAATTTTCCTGCTTCTTAATGATTTGCTTAGTTTTTTGAAAGGCATCTTTTGTCGTCCCAATGAGTTGGCAACTATATAAGGAGCAACCTACCCAATGAGTTTGCGCAAATGCATGACAGAACAGGAGCTGGGAGAGATAACGAAGAGACAAACTTTGCTAAGAGCTACAAAGGAGAGGAAGTCGTGGAGAGCCTCGATCATCCACGTCCTAAAGGAACACGGCACATAGAAGATGTTCGAAACAGTCTGGCATATCGAAGATATTTTTTTATTTTGTTTTAATTACTTATATATTTATTTATTTATTTACTTCTCAAATCATATTACGAAACCACTTTTTATTTTTTTTTAAAAGGACAATGACGAATTGGTTGCCCTCATTGAGCCCTGCCGGTTTGAAAAAAACCGTTAATGGAGAAATCGACGGCGAAAGATTTCTCAGGAGTCGGTTGCCAAGGGAGGTGGAAACGTAGAGTGGCCAGAAGAGGTCATCTTGTTAAATGGAGTGGGCAGAAATTTTGTCATTAATTACTCTTCGTTCATCGTCTGTCATTAGGCTTTTAAGACAGAATGGGCGACAAGCGCGGGTGGAGGTGTCGGCTATGAGCAGAGGACGGTGGCGGGGTCCAGTAAAAACCTGAGATGACTAAATGAAATGGGAGGAGAATTTTTTTTTTAACACTTTCAGAACTGGCTGTCAGTACCCACATCTCCCGATTCTGCTTTAAACACGATCAGTCATTAAAAGAATTTGAATTTACATTGAAAACTTGCCATTATTATTATTATTATTATTATTATTATTATTATTATTATTTTACTAGTTTTTCTTTCATCCTATTTCCGTTTTTTTTTTTTTTTTTTTGTTATCGTAATGCTCAGGAAAGGTATGAATCCACTCCTTCCTCCCCCCAGCTATGGTTAAATAGCAGGACAGATCGAGTTCTATAGCCTTTGATCGCAACTGGTCTACCGCAGAAAGAAATGGAAACCTACTACTGGAAAAAATTTCTGCCTCGTTAGTCATGTATCGAAAGATACATAATCGCGTAAGCGTGTATCACGCATGACACATAACTGACTGATATTCACTTACACGTGAATATCCTTGGGAAAGGTATGAATCCTCTTTTTCTCCCCCAGTTATGGGTAAATAGTAGGACAGATTGGGTTCTATAGCCTTGGATGGCAACTGGTCTACTGCAGAAAGAAATGGCAACCTATTGCGGGAAAAACATCTGCCTCGTCAGTCATATATCGAAAGATATTTGATCGCCTAAGCGTGTATCACGCATGACACATAGCCGACTGAATGCTCGGGTCGTTTTTACATTCTACGAAAGTAATATGTAATGCACTGGAAATAGGCAGTTATTGACGGCGCATGCACTGTTTTTTTTTTCCTTATTTCCTCCAGTTTAATACTAAACCAATAAATGTTCAATATACTCATCTCATTGACTGACTCAAGAGTCTCGTGTCAAATCACTCGTCGCCATCTTGTTCCTTCTAAAGTCTTTTTAAAATTATTTTTCACTCTCTTTCACTCTCAGTTGCCCCTTGCATTTGGAGAGTTGAATTAAAGTGAGATAACGGATACTGAGACATTCGGAAGAGGCATGGCGCGTGGAATTAGAACAATCTACCTCGGTGGATGAAATAAAGGGTTCAGTTCGAAATTCCCATCACCTGAAGAAGGCCGGAGCGTACAACGGTCGACACGTGGTGAATATGATAACAAAGACGAGGCCAACAGCCGAAACAATGTAAATAATGTGAAAAAAATATCTTCGATATGCCAGACATCTACTTTTTCTTCTACGTGCCGTGGACGTGGGCGAGCGAGGTTCTCCACGACATCCTATCCTTTGTAGCTCTAAGAAAAGTGTCTCTTCGTTTTCTCTCTCTGCTTTACCCTGTCTCTTTTATTTTCAATTTGTCTCGTGAGTGTCAGTGTTGCTCTCTCTCTCTCCCCCCCCACCCCCGGCCGGAGGGCCCAGAGATAAAAGAACTTCAACACAGTAACTTTTTATATTTTCTCACTGGGGAGCTGTTTCAGACACGAAAAAGAACACGTCTACATTGCTTGACGTTTCAGAAACAACTTACTGAAAACCTTTCTTTATCTATCATTTTCAGCCAATCGACTTCCTTGTTTTGTCTTCCATCTAACCTCGAAGGTCAACCTCAGGAAGTCCAAGCAGAGATACCATTCCCTCCAAGAGTAAAAGTCGGCTAAACTGTTATTTAACATCAGATTCTTCAAGCCCTTTTTCCTTGTTATGTGTACGAGAAATTTCAACTCTTTCTGGTTCCAAGTATAAGCGCCCTTTCTGCTTGCGCAGTCGAATTTAAGCTCAGATCTTGCGTGCCATGTACCTTCAGAATGTGGGCCTCCACAACTTCCTATTTTGTAGCCGTGTTTGTCCCCTTATTATCCCTCCCTGTTTTGCCTCCCCCCTCTTATCCTCTTGTCAATGTTCTTTGAGTTGCCCAGGCCTTCTTTCTTCGTTATGTGTACTAGACAACGATTTCTTTCTGATTCTGAGTATAAACCACATTTTGGTTATCGTTTTTATACCCCCGCTAATCCCCCAGGGGCTATCCTGATTAGGGGACCGACCAGTGTTTTTTGACCTTCACTATCTTATCAACATTTGCTTTTTTTTTTTGCTTTTTTTTCCCCCTCTACCTACATTTATATACGTTACAAATTAAAGTAAGCACAACTGAGGGAAAACTTTTCACGGATTTTGACGTCATTTTGGCGGGTTTATTTTGTCCAGATCCGTGGATTCGTTTTGCACAAGGTAAATCTAAAAAAAAAAAAATGCTACATAAAATTCACTGTGTTTTATCCATAATGTCAAATGTATAAAAAAATTAATCAACTTTTTAAAATATCAAATTGATCTTCCAAACATTATTGTTTTATTTAAGATGGAATGATCTATTATGACATGTATCTAATTTGTATTTAGAAAATTGGGATATAGTAGAGTGTGGGGTGTATTACAGATTCGAGGGCCCCATATAGATTCGGGGGACTGTATCATAGATTCGGTGGCAGCTCACGAGACCCATGCGCCGGCCCTGTCGCTAAGCATTTGAAATCCTGCAACGGACGAAGCTACTTCTTTTGTGTGCTGTGTCCCTTCAAGACGTAATCATGGCCCTCCACATCCTCATTTCCCTTGTAGCTCTTAATAAGTTTTGCCTTTTTGTTACTTCTTTCAGACCCTGTTCCGCCAACCACTTGCTCAATCCCATTAAGTATGCTTTCCCCTTTCCTTTTTCTCTATCTGCCCTGTGGGCATTAGATTTTCCAAGCCCTACTTTCTCGTTACGGGTCCTAGAAATTTCAACTGCCCTTTCCTGATGTTAAGTATAAGTTTTCTCTTTGTTTCCACTCTCTCCAAAACCTCGTCGTTGCTCACATATTCGGCCCATGGTATCCTCAGCATCCTTCTGTAGAACCATACCTCCGTTGCTTTGAGTCTCTTCATCTTTGATGAGATTGTCCAGCATTCGCTGCCATACAGGACAGATATCACGTAGCAGTTCAGTACGCTTTTCTTTGTTTCCAACGAAACTTTCTTGTCTCGTAATACTCAGCTTAGCGTTTGGAATACGTTTTTGGTCATTCCAGCAGTGAGATCCGAACGCATAATGGGATGGTCCAAGACGGACGGAGTAGACTCTTCTAAAATATTCTTTTCACGAAGCTATTTTCCTTAAAGTCTTTCTCAGATATATTTGTTGGTAAAAAAATTCAGGAAAAACGTCTCTTTTTTTTTTTTTTTTTTTTCCTTCCACTCCTTTTAAATGGAGAAATAGCCACGAAAGAAAAAAAAAGAAAAAAAGAACGAACAAAAACAACGTAAGAATGTTTATCGAAAGTAGGGAAAGGTACGTTAAAGTGTAAAGTGCCGATGAGGTGAGCTTCCGTGTTGGGGTAGGTGAAGTTGAAAAAGTGGATGTCCAAAAAGGGGGTGAAAAAATCTTGAATAGTAAAAGAAGAAGAGGAGGAGGAGAAGAAGAAGAAGAGGAGGAGGAGGCGAAGAAGAAGAAGAAAAGGATAAACATTTAAGAAAGCAAGAAAGAGACAGAGAAAGAATAAAAAAACAAACAATTGTCAATTGTGGAGGATGTATTGGAATGTCCCTTTAGAGGCTTTATCCAAACAGTGACGAACTTTACCAGTGTTTGTTTCTCGGCTGCTCCTTGCCTGACCCCAGACCTTGGGGAAGGGGTGGGGGCAGTACCCTTTTCTGGATCTGGAAACCTGAAAGTGCGGTGTAGGTGCAAGAACGAGAAAACTCGGGAGCTGACGAGGGCCGGATGATTGGAGTGGGGATAGAATAGAGAAAAATAAACTCGGATTTTTTGCGGTGGGGGGGTTGGGGATGAAAAAAAATCCCAAAAATAACAACCGTTGAAGATAGAAGAGGAGGGAGTAGATGAAAAACAATGAACGAAAACAAAGTATAACTAAAGGAAAGGGAGGAGTGTTTGGAGAAAAAGAAAGGATAGATGAAAAACTGGAAGGTTGAATTAAAACAAATGAAAATGGAAGAAAAGCGAAAGAGAGAGAGAGAGAGAGAGGTTCGAAAAACGAACGAGAAAAGAAAGAATGAATGAGAAAGAATGTCGCGAAAAATGAAAGTGAAATAAAAGAAGAATTAATTTTTTTGAAAAAAATGAAGAAAAAGGAAAAAAAGTTGGAGGACTGACCGAGACTAAGAAAACGAAATGAATAAGAAATAACAACAACAACAAAAAAAAAAAAAAAACAAATAACGGATGTAAATAAAAAATGAATGAAAAAGAAAGAAAAGAGTGTTGAAAAAAAAAGAGAATGAGAAAACTAAAAAAAAAAAAACAATTTTTAAGAAAAACGAAGAAAAAGGAAAAAAAAAATCTGATAAATGAACGAGAATGAGAAAAAGCAGAATGAATGAGGAAACTGGTGTAAATGAAAATGAATAAATGAAAGAAAAAAGAAAAGAGTTTCGAAAACGAACGATAATAATAGGAAAAACAGAATGAATGGGAAAAAAGGAAAAAAAACGGATTAAATGAAATCGAATTATAAAAAAGGAAAGTTAAGAAAAAAGAAAATCAAAAAACCTAATGAACGAGAAAAAAAAAGGAAAAAAAAAAAAAACGAATGGCAAAAATGTAAGTCTGTTGCGTAAAACAAATGAGAATAAAGAAAGAATGATTGAAAACAGAAAAAACATGAATGAATATAAATGAAAGAGAGTTGCGAAAAAACAGCGAGTATAAATAATGAAAAATAATGAAAAAGAATAATAAATGAAAAAAAAAGAATGTTGGGAAAAACAAAGAAATGAAATGAAATAAATGAAAAAATGAAAATGAAGAAAGAAGAAAAAATTGTAAATGGGAAAAAAAGAAAACGAAGGATAAAAACAAAGGATAATGAAGGAGAAAAAATAACGAGAATAAATGAAAAGGAATGAAAAAGAAAACGAAGGAGTGTTGCGAAAAACAAAGGAGAATGAAGAAAGAAGAAAAAATTACGAGAATAAATGAAAAGGAATGAAAAAGAAAATGGAGAAAAATTACGAGAATAAATGAAAAGGAATGAAAAAGAAAATGAAGGGGTGTTGCATAAAACGAAGAATAATGAAGACTGAAGGAGAAATTGTGTAAATATTGCGCTAGGTCGTCGGTTTATTGTTCTTGCCTTATACCAGACTAGCCAAAGCTTATTAAATATCACTCGGTTTCTTTGTTCTTATCTGTGCCAGAGGTCGGTGTTCACGCCGACGTTGAACACTAGATTTCGAGTAGTAATTCCATTTTTTTACTAATTGTTCACCCAATACAAAGCCAGAGAGACACTCAAGTTAGATCGTTATGCTACTTGAAAAGGTTAAGATTGTAACATCCCACGCAGAAGTCTGTGACACAAAGTACGATTCTTGAGAAGAAGCTTTCCCGGTGAAATTTTTCTTTACAGTGATGTTCACCCTGTACACGGCCCAAGAGCCACTCGAGGTAGAGTGTTACAGAGTAAGAGGCACAGTTTATGGGGATATGTGGAGAAGATAACAGTTAAACCTAGACTTGGACAGTTTACGATTGTAGTGATCAGGGAAACATCCTCCCCCATGCCACGCTTACTTAAGATGTAAGTTTCCACTCGAGCATCATCTTCTTACGAATGCTGCTTTATGGAACTGACTCCCAAGTGGGTGCTTCCCCGATCACTACAATCTTAACCTGTTCAAGTCTAGATTCAACCGTTATTTTCCCTACATATCTGCGTAAACTGTGCAACTTAGTCTACCGCGAATAGGCCTTGCCTTTATAAAAAAAAAATTTCACGCAGTCTTGTAGGGGATGAGTTATTTTCCACACTACAACCTCTTTCCCATTAACGCAAAGTTAAAAGTCGATCGCTATTTCCATGGCAAACGTTCTGGCGAGCTTCATTCTTTAGTTCCCTGTTGTATAGGGATGAAAACAATAATAATAAGATTTTCACGATAAAACTTTTTTTATTAAGTTTGGGGCATTTTTTTTTTTCATATATGCACATTTTTTGCGAATCTTTGGAGGTACCTACATAAGAAGGTCGGGGGTCTAAAAAGATTTTTGGGGACCCCCTAGTAGAGACACTCAAGGTACGAAACAATTGTGGAATGAGATATAGGGAGAAGTTGATTCATGCCTTTTCTGAAGAATATACTCAGTGCTGGTAAATATTTGTTTCCACTACCTAAGTCCTATAGAAAATACAGATACAAAAAAAAATTGCTTGAAAGTGGCTGTCAGGGCAGAGTGGGGAAAAGAGCCATATTTGACAACGGAAGATAGTGAAAGGGAAAAGAACTGGTTGATTCCCCCCCCCATTTTTTTTTAGTTGCCATTGTCCAGACTCGACGGCTGTAAATGTTTACACATCGCTATTTTTGTTTTCCGCCCGACATTTCAGCCTGCCTTTCTGTACAAGACATACGCACATCTGTTTGTCTAGAGCCCCACCTACCTCGTCTCTTATCCCCACCTCCCGGGAGGCATTTCTCTATTATTGTCAGCTTGTGGGTATTATCTTTCTGTTTTTCCAAACAAGGGTAGGTGAATGAACTTGCCTACAAAACTGAGGAAAGAAAAACAGACAAAAAAAAAAGTTGCTTCTTGCCGGACACATCAACGGACAATCACACTTCCCACCTTGTGTTTGTAATTATTCACTGTTGTGATGACCTAACGAATCGGATGTTCGAACATGGGTAACTGGGAACCATTTCGTCTTCTCAGGTCATGGCACACACACACACACACACACACACATCGTAAAAGAAACCGTTTGAAATTACTTCCAAATTCTCCAAGTGAAAATTCTAAACAGTCTATACCTGTACACTGACGTGACCCACAGTTGTTTTTTTGTTTGTTTAATATCCTTTAAATCCCACGCAAGACGACAATGCCACTGAAACGCAGGTGTGGGGTTACAGGGGGGGAAAGTGAATAAAAAGACTGTAAATGAGGAGGATTGAGGAAATGATGAACAGGATTCTAAAAGACAGAAGATGGCGATCGACATTGCATTTAAATTTTTGAAGATTGTAGTTATCAGGGAAGCAAGAAATCGGAAGTTATTTTTGGAATAACTTATTTAGAAATTTACTGAATTTATAAGCACATCCAATCTTGACATTTTAAATTGTTAAGGCTACGGAAAATCAGTCATTTCAATAAAGTGTGGTAGAGTATCCATTTTCATAGATAACTTATGTATCAAATATAAGTTACTTAAAATCGGGTTAAGTTTAGGTTGGATAAGAGTGCCTGTTCACAAACGATGACATTCGTTTTTCGCATGTCGTCTGAGATTTTTCAATGATAAAATGATTGTTGGTATATATATATATATATATATATATATATATATATATATATAAGTGAGCATTGAAGTCAACACTCAGAGGCAACAGACTGTTTCATCCTAGACACAATCTCCTGAAGATTGCGTTTAGCATTAAACAACCCGACGCCTTCAAGGTTCACTTTTATATTTACATACGCTCTATCACTGATACCAAGCACTTTATCCATAAATATAACACACCTTAAAACTATATTTCATATATATATATATATATATATATATATATATATATATATATATATATATATATATATATATTTTTTTTTAAATAAAATAAAATAAATAAAAAAATTAATAAATAAATAAAAAATAATTATAATTTAAGCTCTACTTCTGTATGGAGCACTGTTTTTTAAAATAAAAACAAAAATAGTAAAGAACTCCGGATTATTTACCTAACGTGTTCTTTCCTATTTTTCTATATATTTATATATATATATATATATATATATATATATATATATATATATATATATATATATATATATATATATATATATATATATATATATATACGCGCATGTAGACACGTCTGAATTCGACAGGTGCGAAGTGTAAAAAAACTGATGGAGTAGAAATGGAGGCTGTATTTAGCTATTTCAACAATAAAAGAGTGGGACCTAAATGCCAACCTAGTAGCATGCTTAAGTTCATTTACGCACCAGGGGAAAAAAAGCTCGTCAGAGCTGTTATGAAAATATTTGTAGGAAAGTGACAGAAGTCGAGATGCCTTTCTCTGGTTCACAGACTTCACGAATTTAAGCGAACTACCAGCTGACAGTGTTTGGTAGCTCGCTTAAATTCGTGAAGTCTGTGAACCAGAGAAAGCAATTCGTCGGAACAGTTGCCATGAAAATACTTATAGAAGAGACAGAGGGAAGCCACGGCACGTCTGTGAGAAAGTAGCTGTAGACGAGATGCCAGATCAGGACCTATCACATTGCATATCCGTCTCTGATATCGTAGTGAAAAGTTGGCGACGTTTCGTCTCTGGGACAAGGATTGCAGGTTGGAGAATAATTCATCACCCACAAGGCCGCGTAACTGTTTTTGAACTGTCGACTCCGGACACTGACGATTGGGCTGCACCAGCCGAGATATGGCAGCAATACTACGTTCTTGATGTGATCTGATCTGACTTTTATAAAGATATGGCATAGCGGCGGAAGTTAACCTTGAATTAAAAAAAATGTTACCTAAATGTGGTGGGCTACAGAACTGGCTTAAGAGCCACTCAAGGTAGAGCGTTACTTAATTAGGTCGATGCACGTAAGCGAAGACGGTAAGAAGCGGAGTTTATAGGGATATGTAGAAAGATAGGGGTTAACCATAGGCCTTAAGAGATTAAGATTATAGTGATCGTGAAAGCATTCCCTCGGGAGCTGTTCTTCAAAATGGAAGGTCCTTCTTACTAACGAAATAATAAGGGAACAGTATACGTGGCATGACGGCAGCGAAAGTCAGGACTGGTAGAATTAATGAATGTGGCGCGTCAGGACATTCGTTATGGAAATAGCGAGAGATTTGCGATGTTACGTCCTCTGCAATAGAGGTTGTAAAGTGGAAAATAATTCATCACCCGCAAGACCGGTTCTGAAGTCTGGAAAGCGAGGACTGGGCAGTAGGGCTGGTCGATTTTGGAAGCACCGTATTGCACGCAATTTGAATGTTGGCGATTGATATAATAATGCCACAAAATATTTTTTTCCGATATCGTTACCGTATTTTGAGAAAACGAGTTTAAAGATTAAATTTAGGTTCAACATCGTAGCGTTGGAATTTCATTCCGATGATCAGTGAAAGCCTAAAAGCACTGACTCATAAAATTTATAATTTACTGAAGCTTTATAAATTGTATATGGACAAGATGCATGACACAAGCACATTATTACTAAAAATCATTGTGTCATCAAATAAGACCTTCATTCACTTCAAATGGAAATTATACTGAACAATTTAGCTATATTATGATGTCATATATTTATACAGTGCAGTAGTTTTAGTGTGATTTTCAATAAAACATTAAAACATTTTCTCAGGTTTGCTTTGGTTTGTTTTACGGCATATCAATGGGTTATTTAATGCCGACAAAATTTTTATTGCTGGTAATATTTTTTTTTTTTTTTTCAAAAATGTATTGCTGCTAATATTTTTTTTTTCATTCAAAAATCTATTTCTGGTAATATTTTTCTTCAAAAATGTATTGCTGGTAATATTTATTTTTTCAAAAATGTATTATTGGTAAGAATTTTTTTACAAAGTATTTCTAGTATTAAAACCTATTTTTCATACTTTCATAGTGTTTTGATCCCAGTTTGGAGGTTAACTATTTGCCCACAGGTGGGACCCTAACAGGTGCTACCACGCCGGGTCAGGGTGGACCTAGGGACACCAGCAATTAAGAGGGGGTTCCACGCTCCTCAAAACGTCCTGATCAGAGGCCTTGCTGTTGGATGTAGTTTATCATCTTACCCAGGACGCAGATGTAGTTTATCGTCATACCCAGGACATCAAACATTTTGTCTTATAATTTGTGTCCAGCAGTATTATGGTTTTTATATAGACTTTTATCTATTATTTGTTTATATTAATTATGACCGAACAAATCATATTCATTGAGTAACCATTTTTGTAATCTTTAACCATTTTTTTTTACACAGTTTATTTTACTTATTGAATGCAGTAAAAGAAATTGTATTTTTGCTTGTAGAGATTCCTAATGATAATTCTGGTTTTATTTTCCATTCAATGTATCTAACACATCAAAATATCAACTTTATTTGGATTTATTCTTGAAATAGTAAAATTCTGAAGTCAGTTTGTAAGCAAAAAAAAATTAAGGTATTTCTACACATTTGGCAGATGATAAAAGCAAATGCTCAAAAATCGGTAAAAGCTGCGAATCTAATTTTGGTGTGGGTACGTATCACATCAAACCCCAGCTTCCAAATCGAGTGCAATGTTGATTTTCTAAAAGAGAAAGTGAAAAATAAAACCTGCCCTAATCCAGTCACACGCTTGACGGACGGGGAAGTCGATTTTATTTTATTTTATTATTTTTATTTTACCAACGTGTCTACGATAGTATTCACAAAAATAATATTAACAGTCTTCCCGTACCAAAGGTCAGTGTTAAATTCTTTTGGGGGGACTGAACGTGGTGTTTGCGGAGCAAGACTGGAAAATTTTGAAATCAGTTTGTAGCAAAAACCTGCGGAAATTAGGTATTCTTGTAGATGTCAGACTATCTTTAAAACTAAATGCTCAGAAATTGGTAAAAGCTATGAATTTAATTTTTGGTGTCAGTACTTATCACATTAAGCCTCAGCTTCCACGTCGAGTGCAATGTTGATTTTTCTTTTTTAAATTAAAAATCACCCCTGCCCCTAGTCGGCAGCTTCATCCCAGATATGTTAGCAGAAACTTTTGGTTTGATTTGGCTCTTGTAAAGATAGAGCATGGTAAGAGGAGTCTGCTACTTACTGGAGCAGTACAATGAGCCAATTATTTCACCATCGTCTTTAACGAATGGTTCGTAGATATGAGGTTCACTTAAGAATGGGCGTTTCTGCGCAGGCGCGACAGAAAGTCTCTCAATGAAATAATAAACGCTAACGAGATTAGAGGCATTCGTTTCTACTTGACTTTAGAATTTTCCTCCGCTTATAAAATTGGGAATTGTGCGTATCGTCTTTATCTGGGGGCCGGCAAAGTCGTCTTGTCTATTGTGGGATTTATGTAAGAACCCGGCCAGTTCGTAGGAAACATTGCGACTGAAGTGTTATAAAATTTATTCACAGGCGGGTGGGGGTTCTAAGAATTTATAAATTACAATAAAGAGAAAGCATTCCTTCTTATTCTAAAGTCTCAATATTAATTAATGTTATTTACTTTTGATTCTTGTTGTAATCCTTTACATGAATAGTATAATTAATTTAAACATCATATATATATATATATATATATATATATATATATATATATATATTATACATTATATGTGTTATATATCATACATATTATATTATACATATGTTATATATATAATATATTATATATATGTGATATATATTTTATATTATATATATTATATATACTATACATTATATGTGTTCTATATTATACATATTATATTATATATATATTATATATATAATATACTATATATATGTAATATATATTTTATATTATATATATATATATATAATATATATTATATATATTATATCTACATATATATTACATATATTATTATTATTATATATACATATATTATATATTTTTATCATACATCTTACCCCTAAAATTGTTCTTGATATATGAAACATTATATATCGTCATTATATATATATA